ATCTAGTTCAGGTTCACAGGATTTCATATTGGAGGGCCGGTAGGATGTCATACAGTGCCTCTGCAAGTACGCGAAGTGAATGTGCAGACCAGGGCAACTTCATGTTTGGTTTGTACCGAGCCGTTTAGATGCGTTGTTCTCTTGTGAAAGCTGCAACTCAGATCCCGAGTCCGCGGCTGCAGTCAGCCACTGTTGGGAAACAAAGCAAGGAACTTTCTGCATCCAAGTGGACGACAGTTTTCTGGTCGTGGTTGTCGGATTTCTGCATTGGAAACAGTTTGTTTGAATTCGGTGCGGCGCTCTGACATCGGCCGTTGTGTTTATCACGCAAAGGCGAGAATGTGCAAATGCAGGAAAGGCAGCACAAGATTCGTCCCATGTTCCCATTGCATTTCTCATCTGTCATACGCCAGTGGGGTTGGGGGCGAACTTAAAGTTCGTGCCGTGTTGTGGCTGGCTAGCTTTCGAGGTCAATGTCCATGATGGCAATCTATGCTTTCGCGGCTACATTGGCTAAACCTCGCAAGGTTCGTATGATTCGTGTGAGTAGACCACACACCGCGACGGTACCAAGCTTTGACAGTCATAAAGTCATAGGTGCACGAACTTTTGATACAGCGCCCGTGACGTCGGATGGCGTCTGGATTGCATGCATGCATATTGTTGCCGGCAGCCCGTTCCCAAACCCCGTGCCCAAATCACCCCAGATCCCCTAGGCCTGATAAACCCTGACCACGCAAAACAAGTTTTAATCGGAAGCCCTCAGCATGCCAGAACGATCCGAAGGACATTCTCGTCACATGGGCTTTGGACAGCGGCGGTTCCACCCAGGTGCCAGCATTTCCGCAGAAGGAGAGGTGTTTGAGAAATGTAAGATACAGAAAAACCACATTTGTTGAACTAGACCCTAAAATATGATGTCTTACCTAGCAAAGGATCTTGACAATTCGAGTTCGGAAACCCAAAAGTATTTCGGGCCGGAGGTCTGAAAAATGTGTCTTCGATTCGGACCCAGCATCCGCGGTTGAAACGCACACGACGAAGAAGGTGCAGACAGCGAGCTCCCGTAGCCCTAACCTGCTCCTGCACAAAATGCCCAACACGTTGAAACTCCCGTGGCCGGCAATTCAAAGCCCTCGATTTGACACCGTAGGTCAAGTAGAGGTGGAGTTTCCTGTTCTGTGGCCAGGCCTCTGTGGCCGCTGATCCTGCGGACTTTCAAGCCCTGGACGACGAGGTCCGGCAGTTTTCTTCAGGTCCCGCATTCACCTTCTCCGACAGCATGTAGCAGTAGATGCTGCCATACGTCACGGTGAACTTCTCATCACATGGCCTGAGAGTGTCAGGGTTGCCTGTATCAGCCTCAAGTGTGCTGGAGAAATGGCTCGTGCTGTGCCAGGAATTTGCAGTTAGAGGCGTGTCGTCGGAATCATCGAAATCGTCACCACCTTGGTTCTCGTCGCTGTCATCAGTGCTTCCAGCATCATCGACTGAGCACTGCCACGTCCACAGCCGCCCCCACCGGGCAAATCACCCTCACCACCAACAACATCCGCCTCGCCGAAATTCCAACCATCACAACTTCACCCCCAACAGCGGAACCATCATCATCAATACCATCATCACCATCGTCAAATGTAGCAGCAGACTCGCCATAGGCATCAGCAGCGTCCCCATCATCGTCATCACCGCCACCAGCATCACCATCCTCGTCGTTTGTAGACTCGCACGTTATTGGTGTCGTCATCGGCTGTGCCGTGGCTCCACATGCTTCCTCACCAGCAACAATTCCACCCAGCAGCACTGCAGGTGTGACTCTTTACTCTTCTTTGCCGACATCATCATCACCATGTTCATGACGTTGTTGTCAACATGGTCATGACCATGGTCGTCGTTATCATCATCTTGCTATCACCATCCTCACGACATCGTCACTTGACGTATAATAATTAATAATTGCCTCCATCACCATTAATCCTCATCGTCGCCGTCTCCATCACCATCACCACCCTCCTCCTCCTCCTCCTCCTCCTCCTCCTCCTCCTCCTCGCCTCCTCCTCCTCGTCGTCTTTACCACCACCACCACCACCACCACCACCACCACCACCACCACCACCACCACCACCACCACCACCACCACCACCACCACCACCACCACCACCACCGTGATCGTCATCGCTTCATGGTCGTTGCCACCATCGTCGTTGTCATTGGCACGCAGCATCAGCTTCGCTTTCTCAGAACCTACATCAACATGGCAATCGCCATCATTGTCATCAGCATGCCTCCGAAGCCTAAAAGCTCCGACGTGGAAGGTTTCCGGATCCGGGGAGTCTTTGCCTCAAGGCGCTCACCTTGAAAAAGGTCATTCATTCCACGGCGAGGTTACGTGAAGTAAGGTTCGCTGTCTTACTAGACTTCACGGTTCCAGGCCGGGAGAAGGCCCTGTGTGAAAAGAGGAGGTCCCATGGAGCTCATAGTTTATTGCTCAAGGCAAAAATTTGGACTTTCAGTTGCAAGAAGTCGAAGGAGGGGTAGCTACAGTCCGCAGCTTCGGGGTTTGTTTAGTAGTCGTTCGGAGTGTCTCCGGCGTAGCTAACCGCTGTAATCGTCACGAACCATGCCATGCTACAACCACAGAGAAAATGTTCCAGTCCGATAGCAGTCTGAGATTCCTGATACACATGCTCGCGAACAGCAACATGTTTTTGAAGACATTGCTAGTGCCTTGCAGTCTGCTGTAATATGCCCTAGAGCGTGATGCGCCGCTAGTTTATGTTAGAACACACTACGTATTTGAGTCTTGAAAGGTAGAACAAAGTTCAATACGAGAGACGTAGCATTGTAGCGCACTGTAGCGCTCACATTGCAGCATGTCCCAAAAGGCACTCTTCTGGGCTTGTCCCGTGAATCCCACGGTGACAAGCAGTCTTTCACATAGCGTAAATTCAACCAGGAAATGTAGACGTTTGGGTTCGCAGAGGGTTCTTCTTGAAGCAAGTTACAGGCAGCCGACTGGTTGCAACCTTCGTCAACGACCTCAACCAGCGTCCCGGCAATGACTTTTCAAGTTGTCATTTGGATTCTGGCGGAGTACATACTGTCTGTCGTTCGACAGCTCCAGCCCGTGTTGTGAATCCGTGGACGCATTGCCTCAGTTCTCTAGCGGGGACGTCAGAGGTTTACGTAATTGGGAGGTTTCGGCCTTCGGATTCCTGTGGGTTGCATGGTCCCTTGCTGGTTAGACCCCAGGTTGGGACGGCTAGGTGTCTAGTACTTACACTCGAAAACCTGACGCAGGTCGCCCGGCACCCCGAAACCCTAACTTGGGAATCCGTGTCAGCAGGTTTGATTCTGGACCAGCCCCTGGGCTGAAAGCTCCTTCCAGCATGCCTTCATGGGATTGAAAAGGGACGAGGGCAAGAACGCAGGCCATTGTTCCTGGACTGTGGGTTTGGCAGTTTTCAAAGGGCCGAAACAGCTTTCAAGCTTTGTGGCTAAAGCGTTGATATACCCGACCATACCCTAACCCCCTCAAGCTTTCCAGTTTGAGTTTCATTGCTATTTCATTGCTTTTCGGGCCTAGCACTTTGTGTGAAGTGTCTTGTGGGCAGTCGTCGTCGTCGTCGTCGTCCAAGTCGCTGTCGTATTCCTAGTCGTCGTCAATTTTGGGCTTGATTTGCCATCATTTGCGACAGGTATGTTTGCCGTTTCCCCTTGCTCTTAGTCTTCTTGCAAACATCTGGCTGTTGTTGTGGTGACTGGTCCTGTAGTTCGTGTTGTGGGATTTCTGGTGGTGATCGAACCTCCAGGCTCAAAATGCACTGTGCCGAATGTTGAGACCGATTCCTGTCTCCTCTGCTGCCTCTGCTCCCAATCAAACTCTCAACCCCCGAACCCTCTCAAAGCGACCTGTCAAGCCAAAGTCCAGAAAGCTGTTGCCGTCACCTGAGATTCTGTAGAACCCCAAAAGAAGCAACCGTTGCATAGCTTGTCTCAATAAGTATGTATGCCAACAGAAGCACCTCCCGTACATGGGCATGCTCGAGGTCAGGTAGTGCAGGGTTTTGTCCATCAGCAGAATCAGCAAGAGCAGCAATCATCGTAAACGTAATTGCGCTCATGCTGCAGATTGACAGCCCGAATCCGATACCCTACGCCTTAAATCCTGAGCCGAGGAAGTTGGAAGTACAGGTGGTGGCAGCGGCTTGGAGGATGTCTTCTCCGTTGCTTCACTGAACCATGCCTTGATTATTTGCAGCGGCAGCTGTTCTCTTTGCCCAAAACCACTTGGGTGCGGGTACGTATTGGGATTCGACACCACGACGTACAAGACAAGGTTTTGGGGCCTCTTGGTGAAACACAAACCCGCGAAACCCTCGTCCGACTATGTGAGCCTGGTAGAGCTCCTACAGCAGCTATTGCAGTAGGGTGATTAATCTTAAAGAAAGACCTCGTATGCGAGAGCGCCTTCGAGAGAGCCCGAGGACGTGGAGCCGTCCCCCGCAGGCTGCACGGATTGAAAGGCTGCAGATGGCGTCTTGGCCACTTACTGTACAGGGCGTTCGTTTTTTTTTTCAGAGTCGTGGGGCTTGGGTCTAAACATTGCCATCCGCCCTACTACCAACCTCTTCCTGAGCTCCAAGTCTGCTTCCGCAGGAGAGTCTTTCACCCCGAATTCCCAAAGCCTGAAGCCACACCAGCCCCAACCTGACCCACCAACCCAAACCTCCAGAGCCCATCCTCCGAGGCTTTCCGCTACGTGCTCCGTGGCTGCGATCCCGGTCGCGAGGGCCTCGGGGCGGTGACGATGTCCGTGGCCCTGCAGAAGCTTGACCGTGGACCCTGGGGGTTTTGGGGTTCGCTTGTGCTGATTCTGAGACTTCTGTCAACTCAGCTGTGCAGGTGTAGAGCTGGCTTGTTTAGAAGTTTATCCGCGAAGGATGATTGCTTCAGGCGTGGAGTTGTCTGCATGAACTTTGTATTTTAAACTGCTGTCGCGTCTCAATTGAGCAACAGAGGTTTGCGAACCCCTCTTCATTAAGGAGGCAAGACGAGCCTGTGAACAGGGCTTCGAGATGTTGGCATCTTCTCGTCTACAGTCTTTCCTCACCTGGAACCAGGCGTATATAGCTTATATAGCCACTGGGCGGCTTTGGGTTGCAAGTTGTAGAGGTTGGGGGTTTAGTTTAGGAACAATCCGTCGTTCCATGCATACAATGTCACTGTCTCGTAGCCCAGACATGGACGCCCTTGTCCCCCTCCCAACCCGAAGCAGCCGAAGCAGCAGACTCGAAGCCGAGGAGCATGGCTTATGACGTCTCCAGCTGCCCTGCCCAGGGGCCAGCCTCTTCCTGCAATGTCAGCTGCACCCCGGGGCGGCTCGACGTGGGGATCAGGATCCAAATTCAGGGTCCGATGCCTTTCAGAATGGAACTGATACTGCTATGGGAAGAAGATGATGATGATGCTGATGCTAATCGTCGTGGCCATCTGGCAGTCTTCTTCCAATTTCTCTCGATGTTCGCATCAAGCCCCACGCCCCCATGCCCGATGGACGGACGACCCGTCTCAAGATGTGTCGAGCCGAGACCGATCAGAAGTTCGTCCTGCGGATGGCTCTGCACAGGTCTGCCGGTGAAGCAGAGGCACAGTGCCTGGAAGAGGATGGCGACTTTGTGATTGGTGGCTGTCAGGCATCCGACCACGATTTGGGGTGGTTTATTCGTCCTAAACTTCGACCGTTGGTTTGGGTCTTTTGCTTGGGCCCTACTGTAGACCCTTAGCTTAGCCCTAATTGGCTTTGGTTTTGTTGCTTCGGGTCTCCGAGGCCTTGAGGCTTCGAGGCTGCGGCTTTGGGGTTTCAGGGGGCATCTCTTATCCATGGTACCTCATCAAGGGTACCTTATTCAGAGGCCAGAGCTTGGGGTATTGCACAGATCGATAAATCATGGACCGAATTGATTGTGCTCAGGTTCAGAATCAGGAGTTTCTCAGGGAGCATACATGTGCAGGACTATGTCTTGCATTGTGGGTTGAGTCGGCTTAGGGACCGGGTTACAGGGGTTTCGAGGGTTATAGGATCTCACACACACACAATGAGTTATGGTACTTGCTTATGATATATCTGCGAAGGATGAACCTCAAAATGGGATGCTGAGCCCAAAATCCCTGCGCATGAGCAGTTTGAAGCTGACTGAAGCCTCGGGCCCTACAGAGAGTCATCGGGCTCTTCATACATTGATGCAAGCACGACTGCTTACTCTGTTCTTGCTAGAGAGTCAGGGCTCATAGGCGCAGCTACAAGAACCGAAGGAACAACCTTTGTATTTTGCGCAACCAGGTAGTGCAGTAGCCTGTCATGAACACACTGCAAGTTCGCCTTTTCAATCACGCTTCTACCAACTTTGATTCTAGTTCTCTGACCCTGGAGAGTGCCAACCTTTCTCTCCTTAACCCCAAATCCCGAACATGCGATGCCGAAATCGGCCCCTAAGCTCCACGACTCGAAATCCGAACTCCTAGATCTTTCAACATAAGACCTTCTCTGTCGTCTTCCGATGACTCTCATAATAATGCCTTCCGCCGCAAAACCCGTTCTCCTTCCCCTAAGCCTTGAGGCCGAAACCCTAAGCAATAAACCCAAAATCAAAACTCCCGCTTGCGTTCCTGCAGGCACCCTGCCAGGCTCTACCGCGCTACAACCAGGCAACAGATCCGGATGGAGTCGCCGGAGCCGCTGAGGTGAGCATGGCTGCGGTCTGGGGGGTTTAATATAGGAGCCTGAATACCTACAAATACTATTTTGGGGGTTCCTTATTATAAGTATAGTATAATGTGCCTCAAAGCCCTATTCTAATTGTTAAGGCCCCTATATTAAGGTAGACCGGCCAGGCCCTAAACAACAAATCTAAACTTGACGCCTTAAACCACGAGGCTTAGGATAGAAATTTGTACTCCTTGAGAGAGCCCGAACCCGAATAACGTTCTTCTTCCTGCGACCCTAAAACCCGGAACGCAAGCTGAACGCAACAAGCCGCACACCCTAACCGAAGCCTCAAACCCACATCCCCAAAGCCAACAAACCTCAAGCCCAAAGCCCATCAAACCGTCTGTGAAACCTTATGCTGCTTATTATAAGCTCTATACAGACCCTGTAACGGTGCTATAAGCCCCCCGGGGAAGGTGAGCTGCGCAGAAGGTCTCCTCATCCCTCACGGAACAACTTGCTCACCCAGCTGCAGGGAGGCTTGGGCACATACAGCAGATTCTCCGGAGTGGTTTGGGGGGGAAGGGGTGTTTAGGCGAGAAGGTTGAGGGGGATTAGGGGTTTAAGGTTTCGGGTTTAGGCCTCAGCTATGTCAGGTCAGTGTCACTTGTGGTTTCGATGCGCGCCCGAGGGGTGCTTGATGCTTTTAGCATCTATGCAGCGTCTGGCTGGCGGGTATTTTAGGGTTGCGTGGTCCATGGCGGATGTCAAGTCTTCAGGTCGGGTTGCAAAACATCGGCAGAGGTCATCTCCTGTATGTGAGCGTCCACAGATCCCTTCATCCGAGACAGTTTGGGGCTTACGCAGGCTCGAAGTGCAGATAATGGTTGCTTGAGTTGAGACGTAATCCTTCATCAGCCGCTAGGTTTGCAAGCCTCCTCCACAAATCCCAAGTCCCACTCTAAACCTCCGATTTCGAATCATGGATTCGTCCCCGAGCTGAAACCTAACTTCCACACACCTCATAGGGCCTGAAACCAGCAGCATGGTGATGCCAAAGCTCACATTGATTCAGAGAGTTTTGTTGCCTGAAGGGCTTGATCTCTAACATGGCCACCATCCTGTGCAACGATTCCGTCTTCGAGCCGGCGCCTGGGACATGGCAGATTTGGTAGTTGATAAATTCGGAGATGGAGCGCCAGAGTGCACAGGTCTGCAAGCTGGGGAATTATGAATCCAAGAGGTTTCCGCTGCTGGATGGTCATGCTAGCGGGCACCAAAGATCCACCAGAACGTGACCGTGCATATGTAAAGACATAGCCACAGCAGCAAAGCAGCTCAGCATCGCATTCTGAGCCAAAGGGGCCTTCCCAGATAAATCCTATTTTTTCCTTGCGGTGCATCTACAGCTGTCGGCGTACACATACCCGATTTTCCTTCGCGACGTGGGTGTCAGGAGCGCTTCAGCTGCCATCCTATCTGCGCTGCGCCAACCGGGGGAGAGTTCGCAGCTTCAGTTGCAAACAAAGAGGGGGAAAGCCCTGCAAACCGACAAACACAGAAAGAAACAGGAGCTGCTTCAGACAAGCACCAAACGCTGTTGGTAGAACAGACAAGGTGGCTCACGATGCGATAGGAAGAGCTTTTGACCTGTACCTCTTGCACACTTGATAAAGCCTTCTAACGTCTTACAAGAAGGCGCGACTCAGACCCGTAGAGCCCTACATGATAGCCCTACTGTGCAAGCCCGCACACTGCGACACCTCAATTAAGTATGAATGGATGTTGCTCATACCTAATGAAGCGGAAAAGAAGTGTTGAAACGTCCAGTTGACAAACCTCAGTCGGGATGTAGGTGTCCATTTAAGCCTAAGCTGCCATTGGCCCGAAAGGCGGTGCAAATGCTCGTGCAGACGCAGAGCCCCCAAAACCCAAAACAAGTGTAAGTCAGGTATATACCCAGGCACTGTAGGAGGCAAACACATCACATACCGGCAACATCAGTCAATATCACCTACCACCATCACCAACACCACCACCACCGCCACCACCACCACCACCACCACCACCACCACCACCACCACCACCACCACCACCACCACCACCACCACCACCACCACCACCACCACCACCACCACCACTGCCATGATCTTCATCTTCCTCTTCATCATCAGCATTGTCTTCGTCACCATCATCTTCATCATCGCCATCATCATCTTCATCATCATCATCATCAGCATCTTTGTGATCATCTTCATCACCAGTACAATACTTTTCATATTCCTCTTCATCATCACCGACGTCACCATCTTCATCACCATCTTCATCACCATCTTCATCACCGTCATCACCATCATCATCACCAGCACAATCTTCATCTTCCTCATCATCAACATCATCGCTATCATCATCGACTTCTTCTTCGTCGCTGTCACCATCATCACTTTCATCATCACCATCGCAATCATGTAGTACCGATCAGCCAGGAAGGCAGCCCTCCCTGCGAGGCCGGGCGGGAGTGGCAGGTTGTAGTTTTCCATTCGCCTGATTTGGACCGGCTTCTGGCTGCTTCGATTTTGTAGGGCTTTGCGTGTTGTTCTCAATGTTTGGGGTCCCTTTCTCTAGATCCGCCAGAGAGAGCATACTATAAAATGTGATCCTAACTTAGAGGACCCCCCCGCCCAGTGTCAGATGTCTGGCTTGGGTTAGAAAGCAGAGGGCTGGAGCTCCTGTGCTGTAACACGATAGAATGCATTGAAGACATGTTTTAGGGTGTTTAGTTCTAGCCTTTCTAGGAAGGCTCCAGAGAGTACAAATTACAAAGTATCTTGATTCAGGAACACTCCTTCCTTACTTGGAGGGTCGGACGAAGTTGCCCGGTTAAAAGGGCCCACGACCCTCCAAGTCAGGACTTTGTAGGGGGCAGCCCTTTTCCAACCTTTTCCACACCTTGTCAAAAGCCTATGAACCCTGAAGGAGCTGCAAACTTCACCGGCACTCCGGCCCGGAGTCTGTACCGCGCAATGCCAGTTGGGTGCTTTGGTATGAGATATAGCTCGGTTTGTCATAGGACCTCGGGGTTATATGTGCTTTGTACGGGCTTCTTTAATCCCAGCGCGGACCCCGTTGCTCATACTTCTTAGATTTTCTGCACCTGCAGCCTGCTAAACGGTGTGAAAAAGTGAAAGAGGTGCTTGCTGAATTGCTGATGTACTCTTCTGCTCATCTGTCAAACCTGTGAAACCCACCTCTGCTGCCGAGGCTACCGACCTCGCTGGATTACTCCTCCGGAAGGAGAGATGGTACCATGCCGCATTCACCCTCCGAAGTGTAGCAGCGCCCTGAACTCGGAAGCAACGACTCTTAAGGTACATGAAATCGTTTCAGGGCACCGATGCGAAGAGGTGGGGTTTCGTCTTACTAGCACCCTAAGCGGTGATCCCCAGCTTGGGGATCACTTCTGTTGCACGAACTCAAAAGCCCTTCTTTCAGAAGATCTTCTCTGTCGTCCCTCGGAAATGGAGATCAGAGCCTTCGCCCTGCCGAGGTTTCTCCACCACTTCTGCAGCTGAACTGCAGCGATGGCGAGCTGCTGCCAACCGACAGCTTCGACTGTCAGCCCTTGTGGCTGGCCCTTGCCGATTTTCCAGGCGCAGGCGGAAGTTAAAACGCGAGCGTTTGGATTGTCGACTTCAGCATTTCAGAGTGCTGGGTTTAGGTTATTTTTCCGGTTAGAACAGAGGGGAGCAAGCCGCGGTGGTTTCCGGATTGGGTTTTCCTGATTCCAGCTTATGTTTCGGACTCGGCGTTTCATTGCTGCCGTGGACCAGAAACGTCGTCGCAACCATCATAGCAACTCAATGGCGCAGGAGGGAATGGGTTCCCAAACCAGAAATGACCAGGACAGTGAGCAACCGCAAGCGACGAAGGCAAACTCAGGATGATAACTGCGGCAGCCAGCTTATCTCTGCACTGCCGATGCCAACAAGCGGGGTCTGAGGTTTGAGCACTAGGAAGAACACTGCATGTCCGTGTCAGCGTTGGCGTTGTTGATGTTGGTGTGGTGGTACGTAGATTCACATTCAATGCCAGGGCAACCCTGAAACCCGAGCGACCCCTCAAACCCGCAACACCCCGCAACCTAAACTAATCCAAAATCCCTAAGTCGACAGGACCTCATACTTGGAGCTCCTTCTCTGCCGCCCGTGGCAGCTACCTCCTCCGCAGCACAGCGGATCAGGCTCCGAAAGTGACCCTACACCAGACGCAGCTAAAAACTCTTAGTTCTCATGTCTATACGAGGGAAGTCTTAGGCCAGGCACAAGACCTTCATGTGGCGACAAATGGGATGCCTTTCATTTATACGCGAGCCTCCCAACGCTAACTCGAAGCTCACAGTGATTTGCTCGGAGAGCGGTATACAGTTTTGCAAACCCTGCTACAGTAGGGATCCCACAATCCCTGCAGATGCAGCTTAGGAACACTAGAGCTGTAACAGCATCAGTAGTTGAGTAGTTCCAAAGGAACAGTCAGCATAGAGCTGTCCTTGGCAATGAGACTGCATGCAACACTTTTGGGGTTTCGGGTTACGCAGGAAAGCCGGACTGCCAGCAGACTGGAGCTGTACCGCTTGGCGCGCCATGGTGACCTGGCTTTTCAAGCTGTTGTCTCATCTGGCAGCCCCTGACTTTTTAAGATGACGATACTCGTCGTTGTGATGCGCACCGTCCACGCTGGCCATTACTGTTGCCGATTTTCCTTCACAGTGTTCCTTGCATTGTCGTTGTCGTCGTCCTTATCGTCTTTCTGAATCAGTCGGGTTGCTCTTGTTGTTCTTGCTGCTGCTTCTGAGCCATGCTCAACCGTAAACCTCTGCTTCCGAACCCCCAAACTCTAAGCCCCCAAGTGCTAAATCCCAAACCCTCAAACCCCAAACTCCAAAGGTCTAAATCCGGACATCCTGGACCTTTTACATATTTTTCACTGCCGCGATACATGAACTTGTACACCTGTCTTAAATTGTGTGGACGGAACAAACACCTTCACAGCCTGTAAACCCTCCAGCCATCGAGCTTGTGCAACTTCGCAACACTCTGGCTCTATCAAAGCCCGATTGCAACCCTCCTCAGACCTCCTTACAGGCCTACTTGAAACCGGCTGTGAACCCTCTACACCACAACCGCTACGTAGTAAAGCCCTATACTATACTCATGTATTCAGACCGTAAGTGAGTAACCTAAGCCCCACGCCCAAACCCCCAAGCCCACCCCAAAGCCCTACACCCTATCGCGCAGGACAGGACCAGGAGCTGCTTGATACTCGGGAAGTCCAAGACTTCGAGGTGCTGGCGATGGAGGTCGCGGGCAACAGTGGACGCATCACCATGAAGTGCTAAGAAGGGTCGACGGGTCTCGAGTTTCAGGGTCTTAAGGGTCTGATGGATCTAGGGTTTTAGGGTTTAGCAGACGGCCCTTCGAAGATCTGAGGCCTAATTAAGCCGTTTCACGAGCTGTAACCCACAGATTTCTTTGCGGGGCCGCTCTAATCTCTATATATCACATTCGGTCAGTAGGCTAGGGCTTCTATTCAGACCGTTGAAGCAAGCCGGTTACGATAGTCTAATGTAGGTTTGTGCTAACACTGGACAAGCCCCAGCACAAGCTGCAAACAGAGAGTCAGGGTGTGCACTCAGAGTGGATATACCTGGCGCACCGTAGGAGCCTCAGACCTCTCCGCAAACGGAAAAGCAAGAAGGACCTGTTATTCTTTGTCAGTAGACGAAGGACCACCCAGCCCTAGACCCAACGAATCTTGACGCCGGATACCCGAAAGAGGTCAATCCTCAAACCCTTAGAGGCAATTAAGATTATCACGACCATTGCCAATGCAGGCCTTGCCCGTTTACCTGGGTGAGACTTTGCTCGTGGTCACCTCCTCTTTGAGGGGTACCTCCCCGTGCTCACCAGTCAGGGCCTCACCCTCTCTTTGACGTTTAGGGTTCTAGGGTTGATGGTCTTGATGTGTAGAGTCTAGTGCTGTGGGGTTTCCTGGGCTGCAGGGTTCCCGGGCATTGGGTTTCCAGGGCTTGAGGTTCAAGGTTTCAGATTTGGAGCCATAGACCTGAAGGCTATTGCTGTACTGATGACCATGTTCAGGTAGATCTGGCTCACCTACTGTGGTCGAGCCCTAAGCTCCAGCTCAATTCAGGTAACAATCAAATGGGAATATCCCAACTTGCAGACAGCCAACATATCAAGAATATAACAACCAATAGTGGCGCCGATCTCCAGAATAAGAAAATATCAATATCAGAAGCACTTGTTAGTTCAGCCATTCAGCGCTTTCGGTGCTCAGGGGAGTTTTTCGAAAGAGCCACAGGCCGCAAGGATGACCACGCGGATTCAGCAACACAGAAAGTACCGTAGCTTGGTTCATTAAGGGGATGCTATTTACTTGTTTATGTACAAGGGTCCGCCAAGAATCATGCCTTCGAAGATGTGTAAACGACCATAGAGGCTAAGCACGCTAAGCACGCTGCAGTGGTTAGCCCTTGAACTCGCCGTGACTGACATTCTAGAGTCAAGGCCCTGACTAAACTTTTCCTATCGTCGCAGGAAGATATCCAGGAGATTCTAATCAACCCAAGAGCCTAAACTCTTCAAGCTCTGTTTAAGCGCTGTAATGCATGAAGCATTGCAAAACCTAAACATCGTACAAACCTCGCTGCACCTGTTCTCAGGTTTTGGCTTTGGCTCCAAATGCCACGGACGAAAGCTTCGAAGCTGCGATCCTTCAGGAGCTACCCTTGGCGGAGCTACCCGGTCCTTTGACGCTGGAGCCTGATGTTCGTAAGATATGTTTGACATTAGTCGCAGCTGTGATAGTGATAGTGATGCCGAAGTAAGAGTATCGATTTTTGGAAGACGCTTTGACATACGGTCTGAGGACGTGCTATTTGTACAGGGCTTCAGAGTTTCTTGCTTTAGGGTTCTGTTTGGGCAGAGGTTAAGGTTAAAGCTTCAGGGCCAAGGGTCTGAGGGCTTTGGGTTATTGGGGTCCAGGGCTCAGGGCGTTCTAGAGTCTTTTGAGAGTAGTGTCGTCTCATGTTGTGTCTGTACGTTTCGCGGCCTTTCTGGAGGTGATGCCGGGCCGGTGCAGACACACAACACTGGCCCCAGGTTGATGTCAACTGTGGTTGAATCCTAGACTCTCCTAGTGCTCTGGACACCAGTGGTTCGAGTCTGAAAAGGGAGCAGAGCAAAGACATAGCTCTTGCTTCGTCTTCTGTAAGCGCTTTCAACATAAAGCCGAATTTTGGCGGTCCAAGAAGCCAAGGAAAGTGCTCATGTTGCCGGAGGACGGGTTGCTCCTCATGACAAGTGCATAACATACCGAGACAATGCTACGCAGTTTTGCTCTACAAGGTGCGACCTAGGACTGGTCATTAAGATCCTGCGGAGCTTGGGCACATTGCGAGTCTTTGTGGCAGTGCAATATGCCACACCACGGGTCGATTTCCCTCATGACCCATTCCAAGCATCGTGAACCCAACATGCCATGCTCGAAGCTCGATAGACCTTAAACCCTAAACCCGAAACACCAAGCACAGGCCCAAATTCCATAATTTATCATAGCCCAGCGAACCTTAAATCCAAGCCCCAAGTCGTAAAGCTTAACTGAACCTCAGACCCTACACCTTCAACTCCGCAACCCTAAGCTTAAAACTTAAAACCAGGAAACAAAAACCCCCACCCGAAAGGGTTCAACCCTGAGACACATACGAAACCCGCCTTAGAAACTCCTAGAAAGTTGTTGCCGATAGAAAAAACGCAGGGTTCCCGACGCTTCCTCTTCGCTCCTGGCATGCCTGGTTTCGGGGCCGCCGGCCCTCCCTGCGACGTGGAGGCCAGGCCGTTGGCTGCGCCGAGAGCCCGAAAGGTTTCTCAAACACGCCCCTGCTGTTGCCTGTAGGGGTTTGGGGTTTTGTAGAGCGTTTTTTGGTAGGGTCCTTCAGGAGATGATGGGACACCTTTTGGAGTTGAAGGCATTTGCCTCAGCTAAAGAGTATCTCGTTCTGTGGGGATGTGTTTGTGCAGTCTTAGACTAATAGATTTGGGGATTGGGATGAATCCCGATGTTTAACATATTCAGCCTGTGAAAGACACAGACCAGGACAATCCCCGTATCGCTCATCAGACTCTCAGGCGTTGTTCTTGAGTGTGGAGTTGCCAGGCCGACCCACAAAAGCAAAGAGATTTGTAATCCTGACTAATCCTTTAACCTCAAGCCGTAGATCCTTAACCGGGAGCTTATTCGGAAACCCGGAGACTCAGACAAAAACAACGACTAGATCCGTTAGGACAAGGGACCACCAAACAGATCCCTGAATGTAAACAAACTTGTCATTTACAGCCACTGTGAAATTGCATGCAGCTCCTTTGAGAAGCCCATAGCCCCACAACACCGAAGAAAGCCCTTATGCTACGCTGTGCACCTCTTCCTCCAAGCTGTGCCCAGGCGAACTCAACGGACTTTCCTGAACTTCCGACCATCTTCCGGTGGAATGGTTCCCAGTTCGAGGACGGTTTGGTTTTGGGTTCTAAGTGTGAGCCTCAGGTTCGTCCAGCTTCGGCTATGTAATGCAGCTGCTGCCGCCACTGGTACTGCACTAAGACGGCTCCTACTACTGCTACTATTACTGTAGCTAAATACTGCGGCTACTACCGCTGCGGCCGCGATGCCACTGTCCCCGGCTACTTGCAACTACTGACGCTTCGGGTGCTGCATGCCGCCACTTCGACCACCACCATTATCATCGATGATTGCGAGGTGAACAGTTGCAGGTCGCAGGTAGTAGTCAATAGTAAGTTTCAGAGCCGTTAATGGGGTGCAAACCCCACCCTCGACCACCCAGAAGCCCATCTGCAGGAGGTTCAGCGCTTACCCTTCGGGGCGACCCACCTGGAACCCTTCCTCTGGCAGTCTCAGGCGCACGTGGGAAGCTGACGACCTAAAGAGGGCTTGACCCCAAAGTTGACCTCAGACTACTCAGAAATCGTGTCTGTTTGAGGTTTCGAGTTGGGCCCCTGAGTAAGCAAACCACTTTCTTTGAGGGCCTCTATGCGCTCTTATCCCCAGGTACTAAGGCAGTGAGGTTCGTGAACCTGGGGCCGCATTTGGGAGTTGTGGATCAGGTTGCGGTTTTGAGTGCTTGGTACTCGAGTTTGGGACTCATATGCAGCCCTCAACCCTTTTTTCACTGAGACCCCACGCCCTGAAACACCCCCAGACCCGAAGCCTCAAGCACCACCACCCCGATGCTTGAAGAGCGATCGGAGGTGCTCATTTTTGCCGCGGCAGGCCAGATTTTGGCTTGGTTCGGTCATAGTCGAGTCGAGGATTTAGTCAAGAAGTGGGCTTGAACTTTGAGGCTTTGGGAGTGAGCACTGCGGGGTTTAGGGCTTAGCGTTTGGCATGTGTCGCTCCAGGCTGCCATCTTAGGGCTTAGACTTTAGGGAGGCAGACACAACAATCGTGAGAATGCGGAGGGCAGGTGTCTAGACCGTGGATGCCGGACAATGACGGGAGATTTCCAGTCCGAGAGCCTGGCCACTTGAAGTTCGCGGAACAAGTGCTTTGTCATGTGAGTTATGCTGGTTGCCGGCTCGTCATGTGATATCCTGATTCTTCACATATGTACTATGCAGGACTGAGTACTTGCACTGAACCTAGACCCTTTGTCGAGACCCAGTTGTTTTGATGACCTTAAGCTCTTCGCATCGTTTTGGGGATGTTTGTATCAGCTTCATGGATATTGACGACCAATCCGGATTCCTAAAACCTACTTCGATGGATTAACATCATGTAGTACGTGGTGAAGATCTAGCAAAACTGGATACCAGGGCGAGCCCTATGCTTGGGTCATCATTGCAGACATGCGTGTACACACACATATGTATGTATGTATGTATGTATGTAGGTAGGTAGGTAGGTAGGTAGGTAGGTAGGTAGGTAGGTAGGTAGGTATGTATGTATGTATGTATGTATGTATGTATGTATGTTATATGTACATGTATGCCTCTCCCTGTATAGTTAAATAATCAAGTACAACTTGTACAAACAAACAAACAAACAAATCTACATACATATACGCACACGCTACAAGCACCCACATGGAATAAGCGCGCGAGTGAGACAGCACAGGGTGAGAGAGAAGAAACAGAGCGAGAGAGGAGACTGCGGGTGGGATGGTGCACGACGATTGCATGTTTCGCTTTTTCAGCACACAGCAGGGGCCTTTGTCCATTGTGCCAGGCCAAGGGCAAGCGCGGCTCTACGAAAACAATGCCGCAGAGGGCGACGAGTTCGTCGCCACAGACTACTCGGCTTCTGGGACCCATGTTGCATATTCCTAATCCTCAGATAAGCTTGAACTAAACTCCAAAAGCCCCGAACCCTACACCTTGTACCTCGTCGAGAGTTTAGCTGGCATTTCAGAAGGGCTCTTCTTTGACCTGGTCTTGAGTTGAAAGCTTAGGGTTGAGGGTCGCTGCCCCCAATTTCCTGCATTGTGCGTCAAACCCGAAACTTGCAGCACTGGAGCCCACACAACTTTGGCTTTTTCTTGACGGTAACTCAAGCTTGTGGCCTCGAGACCCTCCACCCCGAAATCCTAAGCCCTATTCCGGCCTATTCCGCATTCTTGACTGAATGAGCAGCTGTTCCTTCAAGCCTATAGTTCTACACGCTTGCTAGCGCCCAAAGTCCAGCGACCCACACTCCAACCAGTCTAAAGCAATCTCGACGCTTGCACCCTTCGCATGACAACAAACCCTGTTTTATCATGCCAGGGCTACTTATTGCGATTGTTCCTTTTTCTACAACATTCCGCTGCTGCTGCCGCTTGTGATGCTTCTGTTGCTGCTACTGTTGTTCTTGTGACTTGTGTCTACGACTCTTGTGTTTGTCGATCTTGCTGTGATTTTTTGGCGTACTTCCGGCTTTCGACCAGCCAAGGCGCAGGGAGCATTGGCGGCCTTCTGGCTTGGCTGCCGTGACGATGCCGGCTTCCTGGACGTCGCAAGCGGAGCCACGGCTTTGGTGCTCTCGCTGTCTTCCGTCTCGTGAAGCCGAAGGCTAAGTAGCTCGAGTTCTTTGGTGTGTTTTGTTCTTTGGTGTGTTTTGTATTGTGAGCGTGAAATGTGTTTTTTCGCTATCACACTGTTTAGGTAAATGTCTGTAATTATATTGTAATTAGTATTTGGGTATACACACAGGATGATAGTGCTATGTATGTTCTTATCGTGTTATGTATGTTCTTATAGTTCTCTAGATACAAACCAAAGCCTCAGCACCGAGCTCTTACCCACGATTGATTTCGGGAACGCCTGTTTGAACTTAGTTAGCTTTCGAAAGACAGTCTGAATTGAGGTAACGTGTTGAGTTGCTGGGTACAGAGTAAACTTATACCCTAAATGCAGCAGCATAAACCTTTCAAAAAGCAACGCCAAGTCACTATGCAAGAATCCCTCTTCTGCTTGATCCATGCAGCTGCTGGCAAGAAAAAACTTGCAATACCCAGACCTGATATGAACTATTCCTTCCTTCCATCAGTCGCCTTGCGGGATTCGCAACCCTACAGCCCAAAATCCTATGTCTGAAACCTAACCCCAAAATCCAAACTCCCAAACTCCGCACCCTGCCTGAGCTTCGACTCTCAAACGCTGATGCCGTCAACCCTAGCAGCCTAAGCCCTGCAAACTAAATCGCAAATCCTCAGCCCGTGCTCCCTAAACCCTAGAACCGTAAAGCCAAAATCCCCCAAGCCCCGTTGCAAGGACTCCCTTGCTCAGACCTGGCTTCCTCTGCCTGCGACAGCCTCGACGTGAAGAGGTCTTGTGGGCATCTGTGTGGTTGTAGCTTGGCTTATCAGCCTAGTTTCACTGCAAGTGTGACCGCCAGGGTTACTGTAGGATTTCTGCAAGGGCTACTTTGTGACTATGTGTGGGTTATTCTTTTTGGGATTTAACGCGAAGGCTAAGGCTTAAACATATTTCAGAAAATGAGGGTTGGCCGTTGAAAATGTCGGAATCAGAGTGAAGAAACACGGATTATATAGAGTTTCGGGTTTCTAGAGGTGTTAAGTTTGGGTGTCTCGTTGAGGGTTTCCAGGGGGTACATGTGCATAACAATTTAAATATATCATCACATAGATGTTATTTTGTGTCATATTGTAATAGGTCGCATTATCGTGAGTCATAGTAAATTGTATAGCAGTATACTATGTTACTTAACCTTAGATGATGCTCACATTCCTTTCATCATGCCATCAAGGATTAACATATACTATAATGTGTTGTATTGCTACATATTGTATCATTTTCTGTTATGTTATGTTTTATTGTATTGTTGTTGTATCGTGCAACAGTTTATATATGTAGGTAGGTCTATAGTCTCTGGGTTTAGACTTTAGACTTGACACCACCACTCTTAAACTTGCCAGCTAGAAGTCGCAAGCCCCGGTGTGGCTGAATTCTTCAACTGTTCGCCGGAGAACATGCAGATGACAACTGCTACAGCAAAAGTACATTGCACAGCGCAGGTTTTTTTGACTGTTCAGGGCCAAGCAGCCCTTTAATCATAGAAATTGTGATAACTGCATCGAAAACTCAAAACCTCCAACCGCCTCAAACCCGCTCCGTCCCAGCTTTCAGGCAACCACTCCGGGGCATTCCTGGTAGTGGCCTTTGCAGACCCCGACAGCCGCCTGGAGGTGATGGAGGCCTCTATCTTCCTTCTCTCTCTCCCGCTCCCTCCTCCCTTCCCCTCCCTGGCTCTCCCCTCCTCCCCTCTCTTTTGGACTTTCGCAAGCACGCGTAGATACGCATGTGTACAAACTAATCATCCGTCTATCTATGTACCTATCCGCATGCCTGTTTATCGTCATACACTCATGCACATGCAGACATGATGGATGGGTGGGCAGACGGTGTGACGGACAGACGGATAGATGGATGGGCATGGACGGCTGGCTGGCTGGGCGGGTAGGTTGGGTGGGTGGGCGGACGGACAGATGGATGGATGGATGGATGGATGGATGGATGGATGCATAGATGGACGGATGGACGGATGCATGTCTATGTCTGTAATTATGCATGCAGGCCTGCATGACGAAGCGTTTGTGTATGTTCGCTCGGAGCCACATTCTGCAATTTTTGCCAGCCATCGCCCGTCACAGGCAGGCGAATCCCTGCAAGTTGTCCCCCGCCACTGCTGGCGCACCGGGAAGAACTGCCCCATCCTGACTCCAACAATCCAACGCCGTGGATCCAGCTGGCAGAACCCACTATCGGCATTCCACAGAGTTTGAGCCGTGAAACATGCAACACGAGGAACAAGCTGGAAACTACTTGCAGCCACGGCAAAGCAGAGTAATTATCGACCCCCGATTCACTTTCACACAGGCATGTACCCCGTGAAACCCTGAGCCTGAGCCCTAGGTCTTGCTTTATCCAAACCAAGGGCCTCGAGTTGACCCAATTTGAGCATGTAAGTTCAGTGGCATGTGCAAGTAGTGCACAAATGCCTGAGCTTGGACGGACAATCATGCGCAACATCTGCACGATTCCTCACCAACCTAAACAAAGCCTAAAGAAACATCCAAAACCTTAAGCCCGAAACCGGATCACGTGGGCAGGTCCTCCCAGGACCACGGCTTCAGACAGCAGCAGCCTTGGTCGCGCCGGGCCCGGCTCGCCGGCTTGCGGCGCTGTAGCCGGGCTCCCGTGACGTTTCAGTAAAACATACGTAGAGTAGGCAACTAGCTGTCAAGAGTTGGCATGGTGGTACTATTCCTTAGCGCTTCCTAATAAAGCAAATCAACAACAGCCACTACACTACAGGATATAGGCCCCAAGGCCAAGAACCTGTTCTAATTATTAAGACCCCTGCCACAGCTTCTTTTGGTATGCAGGTTTAGGGTGAATAGCTTAGGGTTTTCGTTGCCCTTAGGGCTTGAGAGTGTGTGCTTGGGAGGCGACGTTTTGGGTATCGCCGTGCCGAGGTACGTTCCGTCCCTTCTGGACCTGCTTCTGGGCTTCAGTGAAGGCCTTGAGCTCCCAGAATCCCTCAGTTCAGGCATTCCCTTTGAGCCCTTTACAGAAGAGGACCCTCCTTTAAGGGATGTTGTGCTTTCCGTGCTTTGGGCAGAGCTGCAAGCTTGCTGGCCGAACTCAGATCAAAGTCCCTCAAGGCAGAACTCGGGAGCAGTGTCTCATGAGCCGGAATCTTGAGTCACGAAGCCTTGAACTTGAGTTTAGACTGCCTTTCACCTGCTACCACGGATGTCATTTAGTTGTCCTTCGCTTGCAGCTCTCCTCTCCGAGAAGGGCATGACACAAGTCTGTACCTGTCGTCCTCAGTAGTATCGCCAGTGTGGAACATGGCGCTGTCCCAGTTCACCGTGTCTATGAGTCAATCCTGTGCAACCTAAACTAGGCCCCACACCCTGAACCCGAGACCTTAAACCCGCACAGACTCCTTCGAAGCGTTGTTCGCAATCTCCTTGATGTGCAAAATCCTGCATTACTTTTTCGCCCTGCAGCGCAGGTGTTGCGGTATATCATTACGGTAAATCCCGTGCTACGGAACCGCATTACTTGACCCTACAGGCCCAACCCCGATACAAACCCCATCGATCCCCATATGAGCCTAGAAATCCCTGTGTCAGGCCCTATGTGGCCCTCGTACTGTAAAGCACTGTAAAGCCTCATGGATCTCTTCAGGAAGTGAATATTCCAGTTATCATGCAAGGGACAGTACGGTCCTCACAAGAATCAGTTTCTAGCCGCTCAGGTTCCTTTTCGCATCATTCCAGTCCTCCACGCACACGGACGCGGCCGTTTACCGCTGGCGAGAGCTAGGAGACCTCAGGCTTGTTTCTCAGGGAGAAGAATCTGTAATAGGTGTTCCTTACCTGGCTTTTTTTGCGGGAAAGCTGTGTTGTCGAGCATATCGGTGCATCCGAGGAAATTCTGGCAGTGGACTTTGAAGTTATTGCTCCTTGTTTCAGGGTCTCCTTGTTTTGCGTCCATCGTAGAGTTCCTTGGGCCTGTTCGAGAGAGCTGGGTGGCGACGTTGAGCCACGTGTTCTGCTCATGGCCAAACTGATGCATTACGTCTAGGTACCCTGACTATGGCAGATACGGTAGCATCATCTTTCGTGTTCCTTTACAAATGCCCAGCAGAATATGTTTTCAAATAACAACAGACCTGCCGATGAGCAGTTTGGAGAGCTGCGGCAGGCATGTGCAGAACCTCGCTCTGGAAGGCGCCTTGGCTCGGATTCCCCGGCTCAATGTTCCCTGCATGGGTTCACAAGATAATGGAGGCAGTCTCCCAAACACGAGTTGCTTGCCTCTTACCAGAATCATCGAAGGCCTCACACCTCCTTGAAACAGTACATAGAGCTTACGCTCCCCAGAACTTCAGCATGTCCCCCATGTCAAGCCCACAAGAATCGTATCTAAAGCTTTGTCAGCAGACTCCCATCCGAAGCACGAAGTCCTGAATCCTGAACACCCTAACATGGAAGCAGTGATACAGCAACACAGACAACCACATTGACACGAACACATGAGCAATTCGCCACCAGCTGGCCAGCTATGGTAATGCAACAAAAATCAAAGAGCCGTACGGTTTGATGCAATCACAGGAACAGTACCCGTGCTGGCAAAGAGCACATAGTAGCAACACGCGTTTTGATGCTGATGATCTGGATATATAGCGGTGAGGTGATCACGATAATCGGAAGCGAATCTAATAAGAAGACTTTGCTTGAACAAATCCTGCGTTGCCCATAACACAGCAAGATGGCAGCAGAGCTACCATAGCTTAGGGGGCCATAAACAGTGATGGCCCTGAATAGCAATCACTACGCTGTTCCGTGACGGCAGTGAGAAACGCCAGGTTCCGGCTCTTCTCCGGTGGTGCTGCATGCGCTGGGCGCCAGTCTGGCGATGCTTAGTAGCCATGCTCCATCAGGCCGGATCGGGTTCGTCGGATTTGAGATTAAGTGTGTCGTTGAGTGCCCTGTGACATTCTGTACGCTTTTTCTACAACTACGAACGGCTTCAACCTCAAGACCGCCCACAGTCCACGAAGTATGTGCGGCTTTTGGGCGTGAGGAGTCCGACAGGCCGAACCACCCCTAAAGCTAAAGCCAGCAGGCGCCCATATGCCTACCCCCGATCAGCACTGCTGTTGTTGCTTTCGGGAGAATCTAGAATCTAGCGCATGTGCAGGCAAGACCCCGAAGCCAACAACCCGCCCAGCGAGGCACGATTTCGCGGCTTTTTGCAGCTGAAGGCAGCTTCTCTTGGCAGACTGGGCCTTTCGGGCCTTGCAATGCCACTTGCAAGGGTGCAGATCCTGCAGCTCAGCTTGGAGAGTTGGGGCGGTGTACCGTGGGGCCGAGCAAACCTGGACAGGCCTCTCTAGATTCTGATTCATGGGCTCTGTTTTATGTGGCATCTAGGTGGTGGCATCCCACGAGATGCCTGACACGGTGTTTGAAGGCTTATGGCCACTGGAAGTTTGGAAAATCAGCATTGTAGAGAAAGGCTCAGGTTTGGGGTTCAAGGCAACCACAACCATACCTGATTACGGTGCCAACTTGCACTCTTTCAAAATCTTTGTGTCCGACTGCTGACTACATTCGAGAGTGAACGGGTGTTGTTTGGCCGGAAAAAATAGAAACAATAACTCTGGAAACGTGACTCCTGTGAGGATCTTCAACTCAATCGGGCTGGGTGGCACTTTTCCGTAGCCAAAGCCTGTCTGCTCCCACCACCAGTACTGTTGTAAACTCTGCTCCCCTCAAGCGGCTGATGATGGAAAGATGCTGTTCGTCTAAGTCCCATGGAGAATTCATACCGAACCCACTGCATGACCCTGCTTACTTGAGTCCACTGCCCCATAATACTGTGTACTTACACAAACCCGGCAGTGTAGGCCTAAGCTCTTAAATTTTGGAATCCGACCAATCAACCCTCGACCTTGAATCTTACAGATTCCCAATCCTCCACCCAAGGCCCCCGTCCCTGCACGCAGCTCCTCAACCCGAGCCGCAGGCCCCAAGCCCTGAAATTCTTAGCTCCCTAAAGCCGAGGAAGAACATCTGACCCTCCAAGTCCCAGACCTTAAACCGTGAATGAAGCTTCTATTCCTTAAAGCTTCGACCCTGAACCCTAAACCTCATACCGTAACAGCTCAAAGCCCCTGAAAGTCTATGAAGCCTGAACCCCCAACCCCGACACCCCCCGAAAGCTTCGATCCAACTCAAGACTTGAAGCCTTAACCCTAAACGTTAAATATGTTTCCATACTGTCTCTTCGTTAGTGTTTTTTGAACCTACACTACACCCTATAGGCCCCAAACCTTTCAATCCTTGTAAAGCCTAGACATCCAATTCCAACAATCCGGCCTTGACAAGGTGTATCGCGAAAGACAGGCTGGGCGTTTGTCGTCTTGTAGCTTCCGGTTCAGGGCCATAGGACTTCAGACTGGGGTTTCGAGCTGGATTTGGGGCTTGGCCTCCAACCCTAAAATCCGAAACTCTCGACTCTAAATCCCGAACCGCAAACTCTTTCAATGACCTTTGTAGTCTGTCTGTGCTTCGCTTAGAGGTCACGGAGCCTAAAACCCCTGACCATACGGGTGCAGGAATTGAGGTTTTGGGCTGTCCCCCTCCATCGTCTCAGAGCTCAAAACACAAAAAGAGCCATGTTGCCTTCACGCCTGCAGGTGGTTTGTCGAGGCTTTCCCAGTGGACTTGGGCTGCTCGGCAGATCTGGGCTTGCCAATAGGGGTTTGTTGCTCAGCTCAAGTTTTGAGATTGAATAATTGTTGTGGTGGTGGATTGTGCCGGTCCCAGACTCCACGAGCCGGATGCTTTGGTGCATCGTAAATACTGATACTGACGATATAGCCGCTGTTGTTCCATGTTATGCAGTTTCTGAAGTGAGAAGGGGTCCAAGCCGCACTCAAGAGCCCTATCTCACCTGACATGCAGAGACAGGCTTTGAGTCTTTTTATCTGTCCGACAGGAACTGTGTTCCCCAAGCAGGGCATAATTAGGGGCTGTGGCTTGTCGATATCCGGTCTTGGGGCTGGGAGAGAAAATGAAGGAGGCCGACGGAGTGGCTTGAAACGGCTCCCCATGCCTACGACTGCAAGAAGGGACTAGGGGAGAGAGCGAGAGAGAACGGGGCTTCGTTAGCCTGGAGCTCCAAGCTTCGCTTCCCAGTCAGGACACCACCTAAAAACATCTCGGTCGATGACTGTGGGGCTCGTACCCAATGGCAATCGAACGTACAAGGCAGCCGGAACAGCTTGCATACGGAGAAGGTTTCGAAGCATATGGACGAAGTCGGGTTGCGGCGGAGGCCTTTCAGGTGAGTAATCCGATCGAGCTCCAAGCCCCGGACAGCATTATCCTTAACTCTCTACTCTATTCTGGCTCAGAGGCAAGGGCGCAGACTCTGCACTGAAACGCTCCGACCCTTTGTGAACTCCGCCTTGCAGCCATGGGCGACGAAGAGGTTGCTGCACTTGTGGTGGACAATGGCAGCGGCATGTGCAAGGCGTCCAAGTCTGTTCATGCAATATTCAATAGAGGAGCTTTAGTAACAGCGTTTTGGTTTATAGTTTACTAGTTTACTACAATATACAGGGAGGAACCCCAAAACGTATGGGCAAGCGAAATTTCCTGCACACTGAGATAAACAGGAACTCAAGGCAAGGCTGCGTTCACCTGAGGTGGCAGCGGAAAGAAGACTGGGGATTCGGATTTGGCTGGGCTCGTGTCATGACAATCTTCGAAGTTTTAAGTCGTCAGGTAGCCAATCGCAGACCCCAAAAAGACCCTGAACTTCGGCCCTGTACGTGCAAAGTAAATATTGTCTGGGTCGTATATTGCTGAGTAGTCAGGCTCCTGTAGCATTCCACTCTAGTTCCTCGAAGCTGATGCAAGCTAAAGCGGTCTTGCAACTCACTATGCCCAAAGCTTGTCAGACCCACAACTCAATGACCGAAATTCGATGCCGGAATCCCTTGACCGCCAAACCTCACAGAACCCCGACACACCTACAAACTGGGACAACGCCCTGTTATAGAATTATACCAGAGAAACGGCGAGATACGCTAATCGCTAAACCCTTCAGGAACAACCAAGAAGCAGAATAGAAACTTGACCACTTGCCAATAATGACTCAGGGTTCCTGATTGTAACTCTACTAGAATGTATTCCATCAATGGTTAAAGTCCCTTTCCTGAGCCCTTAAGTAACCCTTGTAGAAATCCTTGTAGAACCCCCTGGTTGGAACCCTACCTTCGGAATCTTCTTCCGATTATCAAGGTCCTTATGTCATGTCTCAGGCCGGCTTCGCCGGGGACGACGCGCCCCGTGCTGTTTTTCCTTCCATTGTGGGCCGACCGAAGATGCCTGGCATCATGGCCCGGGCCTCATCTTAAGCCAATTATTGTAACATGGATAATGAATTAGCACGAGACGGTGTGCCCTGAAAGTCCCTAATGAATGTATACTATATACTGTTTTGTGCCCAGAAAAGCCTAATCGAATTCTTCAGGCTCTGCACTTCCCTCGGCTCCACAGTCCAAAGACCTGTTACTGAGGAATCCAAGCGATACCCCAAAACCCAAAGCCAGAGAGGGACTAGGCCCTGAACCCTAAATCGTCCCGGACCCTAAACCTTGAACAGCTTGGCATCCTTGTCAGGTTGGCATGGACCAGAAGGACAGCTATGTGGGTGACGAGGCACGCAGGCAGCAATCCAGAATGCCTGCGTGGTTATGTTTCTGTAACTTCGAATGTAGCTTAAGATTTGGGTCTTCTTCGGGGGTCGAAGGAACCAGTTCTAGTGTTTGGATTTACCGTGCAAAATTTAGTGGGATTTAGTGGTTTCGGGGGTTCGTCTCCGTGTCTTTGTTTGAGCATCCAGAAAGAGGCTCTGCTTTACAGGGCCACCCACCGGGGTCAAGGAGTTTAGGAGTTCAAGGTTTCACGGTGTTGAGTTTAGGAGACTTCTGTATGTCGAGGAATCGCAAGCTTCAGGCAACATTGGACCAGACAGTGCCTTGATACCCAAAACATAGCAGCAGAAAACCCGCTTCTACCGGTCTTATGCTGACAGCCATGATGACTGTGCAGATGTAGGCCGAGCCGTGCGTGTGCAGACAGTCAGGAATGATGACAATGATGACCATCATCACCATCGTCACCGTCATCATCATCAGCACCATCATAAGGCTTCAGAATCAATGTGTTTTGTTATTAATCGCATCATCGCATTCCGTTGTTCCTGCTACATGTGTTTGCAATGACTGTTTCCTTTACCGCTGCTCCTCCCACCGAGGCACAGTCGAAGAGAGGTGTCCTGACCTTGAAGTATCCCATTGAGCACGGCATTGTCACAAACTGGGACGACACGCTGCTGCGTTGTTGGAGGGCTTGGGGGCTTTGCTGGGCGAAGTTTGGGAAGCTCTGCACGTTTGTCCGCAACGTCTCATGCCTCAGCCCCAAAGCGGTGGTGCCCGTGGACTTCGTGGTTTCTGCTGGGTAAACTAACATGAGCCTGTCACCAGCACTTGTGTAAGGTTTCGCGGCAATACTTGTAGATACTCATGACTGGTCAGACTTCCCTCTTTCCTCTTGAAGCTGTGATCATGACTCCTTGCGGTTTCAGTTTTGAGCCCATAGTGTTCGAGGTCTAAGGGTTCAGTACCAGCACTCGCCTGTATTCCAAATATCTTCTTATTGCTTTAGGTAATACCTCCCACAGTCCTACGGCCCATTCTAACCAGTAAGTCCCTTTTGTAGAGCTTTGTCCTTGTCACGAGTTGGCGCACTCCAGTGCGAAGCCTGCTAACTCTTGAAACCCTAAGCTCCACACCCTGAAACCATTAGCTCCTGAGCCACCAGATCCAAAGCCCAAAAACCCCTGCCGCTGAATTCCTCGAAAACCCCTAAGCCACTTCAAACCCCATGAAACAAGTGCACCCTGTGCGATCCTAGTTCAGGGTAGCGGCAGAGTGAGAGCCAAGGACATGGAGAAGATTTGGCTTCTCGGCTCAGACACAATTAAACACGTCTTTAGGCCATCAAAGTCGCTAATTTCGGGGGGTTCACGACAGTAGGGTTTATGCGCTTAGGGTCTGTGTACGGTTCCGGGGTTCATAGGAAACTTTGGCTCCGGATGTATCAGAAGAAGAGCCTGCCCAGTGCCACAATGTGCTTTGTCTCAACAGCTCCCACTCATTCCGAAAGCCTCAAAGGCACCACACCTTCTACAACGAATTGCGCGTGGCACCGGAGGTGCCTGGTGGATGAGGGGCTTGCTGCTGTTTGACTACCACGGAAGTTGACGGTACTGAGCACCAGAGAAGCTGATGAGGTTTCATCATGGCCATGTTCACGGTTGTACCGCTGATTTGTCAGAAACTCCAGCAGTGGCACTCGGTGGATTCGTTTTTGGCGTTGGAGCTACCTTCGTTTTCTGTCGCTGGGGCATCTCTGGCCGCTGTCCCTCACTCGGCCTCAGGCCTCATCCTGTCGATTCATCGTTGGGTGCGAAGGGAGCTCAGACTCCCAGACCCTTCCCGGTCTTGTGGTCCTGTATTTCTGCACCCACGTTTTCTCACTGGATGGTCTCTCCGCAGCGGTTAGAATCAGAATCATGGATGACTGAAGGTGGCGCTTCATTCATTCATTCGGCTTGCTGGTAGTTACTTGTGCAGGAGCATCCGGTGCTCCTGACTGAAGCACCGCTGAATCCAAAGGCGACCTGGCTGCGTATTGGCCTGGCTTGCTTGGAGGGTCGCTGTACGTAGTGAGTAGGTAGCAAGTTGACTTAGAAGTACCCTCAAAGGGATCCTAATTGGGGTTCTGATATTTACCTGTTAATAGAGTAACCATGTGATAAGCCTCTTATCTCAGCAGTTGTCATTTTGGTCCATGAGGACGAATCGGAAATGCACTGCCATGTCCATATTTTAGTTGCCGGCAGCCTTAGTTGCACAGCTTCCCAGAGCTCTGCATATTGTCGCAGTGATGGTGGCTCGTCTTTCCAGAAGCATCTCTCGGAAAGTTATCTCTCTGAGAGCGCAGGTGGTCACCGCCGATCATTTGAGTGTCCAGTTGAGGGTTTGGGGCGCATCCTCGCGAGAGTCCTTCTTGGCCTTGATACAAGCCTGTTCTTCCAAGGCGAACCGAGAACGCATGACGCAGATCATGTTCGAGACCTTCAATGCCGCTGGACTTGGAGACAAGAACTTTCAATTTTGATTGGGGGGGCATAAGCCTTGCAGGCCCACACATGGGCCTCAATCGTCTCATGGGTTGAAGCTTGGGTGTTGGAGGCGACCTTGGCCTTGTCATGGGAGTCGCCGTGCAAACCACAATCCCCGGTCTCCTACGGGAAATTACCCAAATGACGGACGAATTACCGGAACACATAACCCTAGCGAACATCCTAAACCGCAAAAGCCCCAACACCCAAAACCCACCTCAAACCCCAGTTCAAAATAAGCCGAAGCTCCTAAACCGTGCAGGTGCCTGCGATGTATGTGGCCATCCAGGCTGTCCTTTCGCTCTACGCCTCTGGCCGCACCACCGGGATCGTCATGGACCGCCTGATTCAGGGTTCCTGTTGCAGTTGCCCACAAAGCCAGGTACCATTCAGGAACCTCATACCTTAAGTCATAAGTCATATCAGGATTCAGATGTACTAAGGGTGCCCATATGATTTCACAGCTCTTCCAATGCTGAATTTGTTGATGGTTTATCGATACGGTTTGGTAGATGCTGCCGCTGACGAGCGATATTGTCCACGATGATGACGAAGAGGAGGAGGAGAGGAGGAGTAGGAGACAAGGCGGAGGAGGAGGAGGCCTGTAACTCATGATGATTGCCAGTGGCAACATGCGACAACGACGAGATGTGTGTAATACGGATAATCGGTCCAAGCGACTACATGGACATGAAAGCAAGACAGAGTTACTTGTAGGTTCAAGTACGACACTGGAAGATGCAGCCTACATGACTGTTGGCCCACTTTCAAATCCAAGTCTTCGTTCAGACATGCAGATCCTCAAGTAGGATGCAATGCTCTTGTGTTCGAGGAGCGGACAAGGCTTCAACAGTATTTAGAATTTCGTGTCAGAGGTTACGGGGGAAGGAGCTGAAACAGCTGAAAGTATGCAGGACAGTGGCGATGGCGTCTCCCACACTGTGCCCATCTACGAGGTAAGTATGGCCCACGGGGTGTGGCTGGTTTTGTTTCTAACCAGATGAGCAATGCTTAAGGGAGGCTTGATGGCCCGAGCTCAACCGCCAACAGCTGCCAAGCAAAGAAACAACATGCACACTCAACAGTCGTCAACAATCGCCTTAAGTCCGGCAAAGCCGAGTCAGAGCATGCATGACATGCTGTTGCTTTCCTGAAACTATCCGACGCAACCGTTCTGCTCGCAAGGAAACTGATGTCTTCCGGTTGCATGACTTCCAGGCTACATTCCCCGTGGCGCAACATTGCCCAAAGGCCTTAGGCTTAGCAGCATGGTCTGTGTTCCCAACAGCCTGAAAACGAGGATCTGTCGAGCCTTTCCGTGGGGTGAACGCAACCTAAACTCCCCCAGACGCCACGGACCCTGAAGCCGCTTCAGCACCGACGCGCCGAAAGACCGAAAGATGCCTCGTAAATCGCATGAATCGAGGGTCGGGGCACTTGGTAAGTACTTGACAAGTAGACTTGCAAGCACCCTAATCGAGGTTATGATACGTATAAGTTGCAGGAAGCGCTACTTACACTAAGTCTCCCGACCCTCCAAGTGAGATCCTTCTCCACACTTGTAAAGTCCCACTAAAGATCAAGCCTTATGGCTTGGACTGTGCAGGGCTACGCGCTGCCCCATGCAATCCTACGCTTGGATCTGGCCGGCCGCGACCTCACGGAGTACATGATGAAGAGCCCTGCCATGATAAGGTCGAGGGATGAAAGCCAGTTTAGGGACTGTCTAGGTGGTTTCTAGGATATGATGCAGCGCCCTGGCATTAGGGTTTATGGAGTTTTGGGCACCCTCGCTCGCTCTCCTCTCTCTCTCTCTCTCTCTCTGTCTCTCTCGCTCTCGCTCTTTCTCTCTCTGTGTTTCCCTATATCTCTCTCCATCTCCCGCTTACCCTGGAATTCAAAACCGTTAAGTGCGATCAGTTGTCTGGGTGCACCTCGGTTGTTGTGTTTTAGTGGTTGGGCCTGACTGGCTGCCTTCCTCGAGAGCTTTGGAACCGTTTATAAGATGAGCTAGGTGATCTCATTGATTTGCAAGCCATGTCGATTTCGGCAACCGAACCACAAGTGGCGTATGCTGCGATCGAAATCGAGAGCCAACATCCTGCTTACGGAACATATGTTCAAGCTAACTAAGAAGGGCTCAAGCGTTTGATGAGGGACTACTGCTTCCGAGGCTTTGTGTTCTCTGTGAAGCGACTTCTCAGGATCCTTACGGAGCGTGGCTACTCCTTCACCACCACGGCAGAGCGCGAGATCGTGCGTGACGTCAAGGAGCCTTTGCCGTGGGAGACCAACCTCAGGGGCTCACCTGTGGCTGCATTGCCACGGTGAAGCCTAAGACCCTGAAAGCCTTCGCCAGGTGAAAAAATTGCCTAGTTGCACTGAATGCTCTGTACCACAAACCTTCAAGCCCAGCACTGCAACCTCAAGTCCTAAGCCCGCATAAAGAAAAATGGAGCACTGAACCCCATAAAGCTCTGGAGCTTCGTAAAGTGCGAGGAGAGGCTTATCTATTGTTTTCATATCCGCCTTGAACTTCTCGCTTATATGCTCTCTGCATCAAATTTACATGTTGTTGCATCTTTAACATTATACATATATACATATATATATATATATATATATACATGACATTGAATCTGGGCCTCCCATTTTTTTCACAACCTACATCCGTCACCCTTTCCTACTTCATAATCACCGGTTTTGCCTAACTTTCTCGTTGCCTGTTTGGATACACCCATGCATTTATTGTTTGTATATCTACATTGTAGTTGGATGTCATCACATCGTCGGTCATATAAGAACATCTTTTCGCCAAAACCAGCAGACACACCATGAACTCTTTTTTGTTCTCTTAGCCTTTAATCCGCCGGGGCATTTCTAAGCAGATGTTATGTTTGAGAATCTGAACACTGGTTGGCATATGCTTTTTTGTATTTTGGCAATTGGTCATATCCTCCATGGGTGGCAGCTGTTCAATATCACCCGTTGCTAAAATCTTGTCGGAGTTATCGAAACAGAACAATCTTATCTTATCCAGCCTGAACGTCGATGTTATCTGATGACATTATATTAGTACAAAGGAAGGGCGCGTATTCAGGCAGTTCATTGCCTGATTCTCTTTCTCCTGAGACAGGCTGTCTGTCCTATATACTTGCTCTCGCATACGTATTCTGCGTTTGTTCGGGATACCCGCTTTCACCCCCGCCACAAGTTCAGTTCTTGCAGACGTGCTTTACTGCAGGAGAAGCTGTGCTACATCGCCTTGGACTTCGACAGCGAGATGAAAGCCGCCAGCGAAAGCAGCGACAAAGAGAAGACCTACGAGCTGCCTGATGGCAACATCATCACCGTGGGATCCGAGCGATTCCGCTGCCCGGAGGTTCTCTTCCAGCCGAGCTTTGTGGGTAAAGAGGCCAGCGACATTTATAAGGGCTTAGACGTTTTGAGACTTGGGGTGCGCTAAACTAAGCATCTGGTGTCACCATGACTGGTCCGAGCAACTGTATCGAGGCCAGTGGCATCCATGATACCACCTTCCAGTCCATCATGAAGTGCGATGTGGACATTCGCAAGGATCTCTACTCCAACGTTGTGTTGTCAGGGGGTACCACTATGTTCCAGGGCATTGGTGAGCGCATGACAAAGGAGTTGACCGCATTGGCACCCTCCACAATGAAAATCAAAGTTGTGGCTCCGCCTGAGCGGAAGTACAGTGTTTGGATTGGCGGCTCCATCTTGTCCTCTTTGAGCACCTTCCAGCAAATGTGGATCTCGAAGGGAGAGTACGACGAGTCTGGCCCAACCATCGTCCATCGAAAGTGCTTTTAGGTTTGTGCAGTTGTTTGGAACCTGAGACCCGCAGCGACGGTCATTCTGACTCACAGACAAAAGCATTCCGCGTTAGAACTAACTTAACCGTCAAACTGGGTCTCAGGTACAGCTCGGGTGCTTGTTGGGGCTTGCACACTGGCAGGAGTTCGTGTCGTAGAGGGCTTGCGCTTGCACCCTCAGGTTCATGTGACCCTGTTCCGGGCATGGCTCCCTGGGGCTCTGAGCATTGACCGGGAAGCAATTACCGCGAAGACTTCTCTCCTTCGGGTCCTTAGAGCCTCAGGGGCCGATTTGAGCAGAAGCTCAGTCAACCCTAAAGACGTTGTTTTGCAATCGAGGAAAGAAGACTGAACACGGGGTCGTTTCGGGACGGGGCAGATTCCAACCGCCACAAATCCGAACCGGGCGGCGCTGTTAGGGTGCTTCGGTCGGTTCTCTGTCGATCATGCGAAGGGTTTGGAAGGTGCATGCGGTTTGGCAAGACCTTTTGGACCCCTAGAAAGTCACTGACAAGGTAACACTGTAATTCCGAGGGTAACCTAGCCAGAGGCAGCAGCTGCTGGAGCAGGAGCTGGAAAGTAGTGGCAGCAGTGGCAGTAGGAGAAGCAGGAGAAGGAGCGGGAGTAGGAGTTGGCGTAGGAGCAGGGATAGGGGTAGGGGCAAGAGTGGAAGTAGGCGTAACAGCAAGAGTGCAAGTCGAAATAGGAGCAGCGACAGGGGTGGGAGTTGGAGTAGAAGTGCGAGCAGGAATGCAGTAACAGTCGTGGTACGTGGAGTGGCAACGGGGAGCAGAAGCTGGTGAAGCCATCGAAAGCATCCATATACCGCGCTCCCTCTAGCTAGCTCTTCACCATAATCTCTTACATCTTGGGTTTGCTAAAGCACAGAAGCATAAAATCTGAAGACCTATCCTTGCAAATGAACAGATGCTGTCTTCAACAGTGTATGTTGCGGTCGTGAAGGTATTTGCTACGGTACCCGCCAAAAGTCAGAGCTCAGGCATTCCAGCGAGGTCTGTGCCGGCGAGGCACCGATCGGCCTCGAGCGCTGCGACCTGGAGCGCTGCCCGAAGGAGTGTTTTTTGATTGGTGTTGGTTCGGGGGAGGGCTTTAGCGTTTTGGGTTTAAGGGTGCATTGCTTGGGATGTAGGGCTGGTCTAATCCGGGCTGTTGCGGGCGAGCGATAGTGCAGCTCAATATGTCGGGTCTTGTTAAACATGATTCCTGAGTTTGAGCTTGCAGTGGTCAGAGCTCCTTACGCCTTGCAGCCCTCAATGTTTATCCCAGCCCTGGCCAAAGCAACATGTCATGAGAGCTAGCAGCTAGCTCTACTCGGGCCGTTTTCTGTTTGGAGGATGTCTTCGTTTGGTCCCTCGGGGCCTGGAGCGGCTGCTTGGGCCGCTGCGGTGCCGGGCGCCGGGAGCGCAGTGTGGCCGCTTGACTTGGTTCAACTACGACTTGAGCGCCAGCAAGGCCTGAAGGCTTGCTAGGCGGTTGGTTTTGTATCATCATATTCGTAATTCGTGGGATATTCCAGAGATTGTGTCAGATGGCAGAACAAGATAACATAACATAGCAAGCCATATGGCAATGAAGGCAGTCTCAGACAACATCATTAGCTACTTTATTTGTCATGTCCTGTACTGCCATATATGTCATAGTGATGTGCGGTGTATTAGACTTCCTAGAAGAGGATCGAACAGACCGTGTTAGAACGTAATATCATGTAACAAAAGGTAGTACAACATAGCGCAATATACACGCATACACGCACATGCACACATACACACAGGTATATACGTATGTATTTATGCTGATACAGACTGACATACATATGTATGTGCATATCTATATATGTATGTATTGCAAAACATGGCATGGCGAAGCTTCCATGCAACCAAGATACAAAATGTAAGGGCCCCTCGACAAAGTCACATAGCTAGAGCCCTGAAGCTTCGATGCCGTAGCATAGTATGACATACTAGATCACGGTTTCCAACTGGGTTCAGATAGCTTCATACCGCATGGTACAACCGAATGTAGCGTAATCTATATACTATGGCACAGTATAACACAATATAGCAGACTGCATCATAATGCGATGGAGCAAAGCATAGCAACGTATAGGTTCTTATAGCATAGACATATTGTGAGATGTCAGAGTAGAATAGAAAAGAATAGACAGAACAGGATGGAATGGAGTAGCATGTGTTTGCACACATTTACACACATGTGTGAGTAGGTAAACATACATACCGCACATGTATCCATCCATACATGCATACGTACAAAAATTCAGCTTCCTACGTACAAAAGAGACAAATGAGAACCTGAGTGTTCTATGTTTTGTTTATGTATGAGGCTTCAGTGTGCGTGTGCATGTGTGTACCTTAGCATGCATATGATCATATTCACCAGGACAGGTATGTTGCATGTCATGTACTGATGTACATGCACGCGTCGACTACTGTGTGTGTGTGTGTGCTCATGTGCCTTCTTCTCAATATTCGCATCTGCTACATGTACCTCTGTGAGCAAACCAGTAGGTACAAGTACACCGACGGTCTCCAATCTTGCTTTGTCAGCGAAACACGCTGCGTCTGTTTGTGTGTGTACGTACTTACACTCACACATACGTGTGTGTGTATATATATATACACATGTATATGTAGGTTTATATACTTACAGATACCCACGACGGGCGATAAACCTGCTTCTATACATACACGTTAACATGCACATGGTGCTGTGCATATACATGCATACACACACACACACACACACACATCAGTATACACATTTTACTAGAGGAGTTGCGATCTATTGTTTCGTTGCAATCTGGTGCTATGGGTTTGCAGCAGAAGGTCGTAGCGTTGCAGGATATGGGGTCGGAGTTTCAGGTCAGTCTTGCCAAGGCGGTACTGTTCCATTGATTGGCATGCTGTTGAGCTTGGCAGTATCACGGCTTGAGGAAACTCAATGAATTGTGACCTCCCAACCGTTGTAATAGTGCAGTCTTTTCCAACCAAAGCACGAGAAATCCCTCAGCCCGAACACCCTGCAGCGTTGCCATCGACCTTCGAGGTCTGCTTAGCACAGCTCGTCGCCGCGAACGGCACTCAGCTTGGCCACTCGGTTTAGAGCTTTAATGTGTCGAGGTTTAGCCTCGACCTCAAACCATACTGTCCACTGGCCATTCCCCCCGACCCGGTACCAACTATGCTTGCCAATTCCGGAGGGGCCAGTGGCAGCTTGTCGCTTCCCGGCTCCTAGGCACAATCTTTTTCCCTGCAGAGGCTCAGGCTCCAAAGCTGCAACCGCAGCCGCGATTGCAAGCTCCACAGGGAAGGACCTGCTAAAGCAAAGGTGGTACGAGAAGATCCCTCAAGACTCAAAACCCTTTTAAAGCCGGCTCTCCCTGGAAAGGGCTCGCTCACCAAAACCTCTGCTGCCGAGACCTCGGTGAGGTAGAGATTGTTGTTGAAGTGGTGTGGTGTATGTGCGCGCAAGGGTCTCGTTACATCACCGCCCACCCCCCTGTCGCAACACGGGAATCATACCGAATGAAGTGTTCAAAATTGGAAACTCGAAGGGCAAGAAGCGGCCTGCCCAAAGGTGGCAGAATAGTACGCATGAGCCGTGGATGTCGCGCAAAACGTAGGTGCTGCTCAGGCTAAGAAGGTTTAATAGCTAAGTGTAGTTGGCAGGGGGTGCTTCCTACTACCACCAATCCTACACTGCTTCGACGATGAACGTAGTGACGACGACGATGACAAGGACTGTTGCTACTACCACTGCTGCTGCAGCAGTACTAGCATTTCATTGGGGGCTGCTTTGCCAACTGTTGTTGTCTCCGCTGCTTTGCAGCGAATGCACGTGCTAACCTGTCTAAACTCCCGAAGCCCCGCAACTCTCAAGCAGTCAATATCCTTATCAAAGGGCGCTTCCAGAGAACGAACCCCACGCCCGAAATCTGAAGCCTTAAACCCTTACCCCCGAACCTTGAACCTCAATTCCCTAGCCCTGAACCTTGGCTCTGGCTTTACCATCTTTACCCAGGGCCACCACGGACCGCCAACGCGTCGGACTGCCGCGAGGAGGTCCCGGTGACGGAGGAAATCTGCACTCTGAAGGCCGTTTATAGGATTCAGGATTTTGGGCTTTAGGGATCTCGTTGGAGATTTTAGTGGCTTCGGAGGTTGAGGAATTCAGGGTTTAGGGGTTTGGGGTCTCCGAATTACGACTTCAGGATTTTCCAGTTTCCAGGCGGAACTTCGCGGCCCGGTTAAAACTCGGACTTCGAGGTGTAGGGCTTCAGGGGTAAGAGTTTAGCCACTCCTCAAGGTGGGAAGGAATTGATTGCGCGGGACTGCTCGCTGTTGCTTCAAACATCACATCAACGCTCTTCTGGAAGGGTGCTCCAAGTTCTGGTCCTTTCGGATGTCCGCTGCAGAGTACAGTTATCGCTGTCCAATCGTCAAAGATGGCCAGCAGTCGATCATTCTGTAAATTCCGTACCCACGGATATCTAGCCATTGCCCGATAGTTTTGGTGTTTGAACTCTGCAGAATCTCCATCCCCAACTTGATCAAGCCTCGCAAGTCACCAGTGTTCATTTCATCTCCCCAACCTTCCCAAACAGGCATGTGCCACGTTTCGTCTGCGCAATCGTGTGGAGCTGCAGTCCGGGTGGCACGCGGCTCCGAAGACATTACTATGACCACTCCAAAAAGTCAGGTTGGGATCGATGAGGCTCTGAGGCACATCCTGTCGGGTGCGAGGCGGTGTTGTATTCTGTCTGAGACCGATCTCAGCACGGTGCGCATACGTCGACATGCATGGACCCAGAGAGGCCAAGTCCCGTTGACTCGAGCAGGCTTCTTTTTAAAATCGAATGATACTTCAAAGCAAGAAACTTTCCGGCACAATGACTGCATCTCGGACCCAGCCCCCCACAAAACCCCGAGACACCTAATGAGCCTTGAACCCTGACACCCT